TCTGGTTCCACATGAGATCCAAAGAAATCAAGTTAAGCTATGCCACCATGAAGAAAGTGGCATTTGACTGTATGTGGAGAGCTCCCTGGCTGACCTGCTCAGCTTAGGGTCTTCTGACTACAACGGTGTGAAAGCAATCTGAAGGAGGACATTCTTTGGAGCTGTGGGGAACCCCATTGATCACATGGCCTCTGGGATGGTCATTTGACAGTGAACTACTGCTCTGAGTGTGATGGTCAGGAAGGTAGGTGTAACAAATGCATTTTCAATTTAGGGTGCTCTTCAGTTTACAGTCGGTTCAGCAGGATGTAATCACAATGTGGGTGGAAGAGTGTCAGATCCAAGAACCTGTAAGAATTCTGACTGCTGGGGCTGAGAGATGGTTCAGTGGGTAAGAGCACTGACTGCTCTTCCAGAGTACTTGAGTTCAAGTCCCAGCACCTACATGTTAGCTCAGAGCTGTCTGTAATTCCAGTTTCAGGGGACCTGACACCCATGACAAAACCTATATTGCACAAAATTCGAAAATCTAAAGGAAATGAACAATTTTCTGGATAGATATCACTTATCAAGTTCTGTTAAATCAAGAACAGATAAGCAATTTAAGCAGACCTATAATCCCTAATGAAATAGAAGCAGTCATCAAAAGTCTACCAATCAAAAAAAGCCCAGGGCCAGATGGTTTCACTGCAGAATTCTACCAGAAATTCAAACAAGAGCTAATACCAGTACTCCTCAAATTGTTCCACAATAGCAGCAGAAGGGACATTGTCAAACTCTTTCTATGAGGCTACAATTACCTTGGTACCCAAGCCACACAAAGACACAACAACAACAAAAAAGAGAATTACAGATCAATATCCCTCATGAACATTGATGCAAAAATATTCAACAAAATACTGGCAAATCAAATCCAAAAACACATCAGAGAAATTATCCACCATGATCAAGTTGGCTTCATCCCAGAATGCAGGGATGGTTCAACATCCATCAATGTAATCCACCATATAAACAAACTGAAAAAGAAAAACCACATGATCATCTCACTAGATGCTGAAAAAGCCTTTGACAAAATCCAACATCCCTTCATGATAAAGGTCTTGGAGAGATCAGGAATAACAGGAACATACCTAAACATGATAAAAGCAATATACAGCAAACCAACAGCCAACATCAAACTAAATGGAGAAAAACTCAAAGCGATTCCTCTAAAATCAGGAACAAGACAAGGCTGTCCACTCTCTCCATATCTCTTCAATATTGTCCTTGAAGTTCTAGCTAGAGCAATAAGACAACAAAAGGAGATCAAGGAGATACAAATCAGAAAGGAAGAAGTCAAACTTTCACTATTTGCAGATGATATGATAGTTTACGTAAGTGACCCAAAAAACTCTACCAGGGAACTCCTACAGCTGATAAACACCTTCAGCAAAGTGGCAGGATACAAGATTAACTCAAAAAAATCAGTAGCCCTGCTACATACAGATGATAAATGTGCTGAGAAAGAAGTCAGAGAAATATCACCCTTTACAATATCAACTAATAACATAAAATATCTTGGGGTAACACTAACCAAAAATGAGAAAGGCCTGTATAGTAAGAACTTTGAGTTTTTAAAGAAAGAAATTAAATAATATACAAGAAAATGGAAGGCTCTCCCATGTTCTTGGATAGGTAGGATCAACATAGTAAAAATGGCAATCTTGCCAAAAGCAATCTATAGATTCAATGCAATTCTCATCAAAATCCCAACACAATTCTTCACAGACCTTGAAAGAACAGTACTCAACTTCATATGGAAAAACAGAAAACCCAGGATAGCCAAAACAACCCTCTAAAATAAAGGAACTTCTGGAGGCATCACCATCCCTGACTTCAAGCTGTATTATAGAGCCATAGTCCTCAACTTGGTAATTGGCACAAAAATAGACAGATTGACCAATGGAATTGAATTGAAAACCCTGATATTAACCCACACACCTATGAACACCTGATTTTTGGCAAACAATCCAAATTTATACAATGGACAAAAGAAAGCATCTTCAACAAATGGTGTTGACATAACTGGATTCGGACATGTAGAAGATTGCAGATTGATCAATATCTATTGACATGCACAAAACTTAGGTCCAAATGGATCAAAGGCCTCAACATAAATTCAGCCACACTGAATCTCCTAGAAGAGAAAGTAGGTGGTACCCTTGAACAAATTGGTATAGGAAACCACTTTCTGAACATAACACCAGTGGCACAAACAGAGATCCACAATTAATAAATGGGACCCCCTGAAACTGAGAAGCTTCTGTAAGGCAAAGGGCACACTCAGCAAGACAAAATGCCAGTTCACAGAATGGGAAAAGATATTCACCAATCCCGCATCTGACAGAGGGCTGATCACCAAAATAACAATGAACTCAAGAAGCTAGCCACCAAAACACCAAACAATGAAATTAAAAAGTAGAGTGCAGAATTAAATAGAGAATTCTCAACAGAGGAATCTAAAATGGCTGAAAGACACTTGAGAAAGTGCTCAACATCTTTAGCCATCAGGGAAATGCAGCTCAAAACCACTCTGAGATACCATCTTACTCCTGCCAGAATGGCTAAAGTCAATAACACCAATGACAATCTATGCTGGAGAGGGTGTGGAGAAAGAGGAACACTCCTCCATTGCTGGTGGGAGTGCAAAACTTGTGCAACCACTTTGGAAATCAGTATTTTCTCAGGAAAATGGCAACCAGTCTACCTCAAGATCCAGCAATTCCTCTCTTGGGCATATACCCAAAGAATGCACATTCATATAATAAGGACATATGTTCAATCAACTATGTTCATAGCAGCATTATTTGTAATAGCCAGAACCTGGAAGCAACCTAGATGCCCCTCAAATGGATAGAGAAAATGTGGTACATTTACACAATGGAATACTACTCAGCAGAAAAAAAAAAAAAAAACAATGGCTTGAAATTCACAGGCAAATGGATGGAACTAGAAGAAACCATCCTGAGTGAGGTAACCCAGTCACAAAAAGATAAAAATGGTATGTACTCATTCATTTTTGATTTTTAGACATCGAGAAAAGTATTACCAGTCTAAATCCACATTGCCAGAGGAGCTAGGAAACAAGGAGGACCCCAAGAGAAGGTCATGGGGCATGGGTCGAGAGGAAGGAGGTAGAAAGGGAAGAAGGGGAGGGGGAGGAGAACAAGAGGACTGAGACAGGGGGTGGGGGGACGCAGGGGTGGAGAGGAAGGAGGTGGGAAGGGAAGAAGGGGAGAGGGGAGGATAACAAGAGGACTGAGACAGGGGAGGAATAGAGGAGAGCAAGAAAGGAGATGCCTTGATAGAGGGAGACAGTACAGGTATGAAGAGAGGTCTCGCATGGGGGAAATGTTCGGGGATCCATAGGGATGACCCCAACTAAGAATCCAAACAGTGGTGGAGAAAATGCCATTGATGCCTTTCCCCTATAATGAGAGTGGTGTCTACCTTGGTTACCATTCCTAGAGCCTTCATCCAGTAGCTGTTGTAAGCAGAAACAGGCACCTACAGTTAAGAACTGAACTATACTAGTGGAATCCAGTTGTGGAGAGGGAGGAGGGATGAGCAAAAGAGCCAAGATGGTGCTGCAGAAACCCGCAGAAACAATTGACCTGACCTACTGATAGCATGGAGACCCTAGTCATAACACTTCGGAAACAGCATTGGACCAAACCAAGCCCTCTGAATGTGGGTGCCAGCTAGGAGGCCAAGACAGTCTATGGGACCTCCAACAGTGGAGCCAATCTTTAACCCTAGAGCACAAATGGACTTTGGGAGCCCATTCCCTATGGAGGGATGCTATTGCAGCCCAGATACAGTAAGGAGGGCCTAGGCACTCCCCCAAATGATATGATAGACTTTGAAGGTCCCTGGTGGAGGGCCTCACTGTCCATGGGAAGGAGTTGGGGGATGGGTTGTGGGGTTGGTAGGGAACATGGGAGGATGTGAGGGCGAGGGAATGGGGGTGGGATGGATATGTAAATGAGTAGTAATTAAATAATTTAAATAAAAATTTAAATTAAAAAAAGAAATTTCTCAAAGTCATATTTTGGCATGAAATACCTGTGTACCAGGTATTCTCATTGGTCAGTGCTGAGAGGGAACATTCTGTGGTTTCTATGGCTTTGTCTTGTTACTTGCAGGTGGCCTGTTGTTCATAGATACCAATAGTTTTCAGAACTGTATTCTGGAGACCATAGAGGAGGTTTTGGTCTCCCCTGGAGTTTCTTTTGTGGCCAAACAGTTCCCAGGAACCAAGTACCTAGGAGGCTGGTGGGGTGGAAGGGTCTGGTCCCTTCATTTCAAGAAGTGAAGCTTTTTAGTTTAGTCTACCCCTTTCAAAGCACAGTGATCATTCTGAAATCAGGCATAAAGAAAAGAATGGAAGTGTTGATAAGTTGACATCTAAGATAGTGAAAGATTGTAAGTTACAGTCCTATATTAAAGATGCACTGTTGGAAAGACATTATCACTACCTTTTTTGATACATATATTATTTTAATTTCTGTGTATGTGTTTTGTGTATGTGTGTGCATATTCATATTGGTGAAAACAAGGATAGAAAAGGATGTTGGATCCTCTGGAACTGGAATTATCAGACATTGTAGGCTTCCCAACATAGATGCTGGGAACCTAACTTTGGTTCTCTGCAAATGTAGCAAGCATTTAGCCAGAAAATTTTTTCTTTACTGCCACCACATGTCACACCAAAGACCTTTCTAGTGTCTACTTTTGGCATTGGGGAAAAGAGAGAGAAATAAAAGACATCTCTGGTTGATGTTCCAAGTGAAGTCTAAGTGTCTTCAAAGGTGTCTGCACAGATGGACCCAAAGAAGTTCTTCAATTCCATGAGCTCAGCAGAGCAAAGATTGTTAGTACAGGAAGGACTCTCAGTCTGGATAACTGAGAGTTGATCCACTTTATTAAGATAAAAAAAGAAAACAGACAAATTCACATGATGGATGAATAATGGCCATAAATACAGAGTGTTTTCAGCTACACACTGCTCTGTGTGACTTATATACCTTTTAGAAAACATGATTATGTAGAGGTGAATGAAGGTGGTTGTAAGTGATGTTTGTAGGAAAGTTACAATTACTTGCATTCTATGGATGCATCTGACACTGAAACCCCAGCGATGTCTGCTCAGATTCCTTGTACAGTCTAGGGTTGTCATGGCTCACTGTGAGGAACCTTAGATGCTGAGAAAGAATGATCTCCTTTGGAGCTACTAAATCCAGGTAGTACTTATAGTGTAGTCAGAGAACACAAAAATTACATACTCACTGTGGCTTTAAAGAAAAGAGTTCTAATCTGTCACGTTAGGTGCTTCAAAACTTTCTGACACTGGTTGAGAAGCAATTACCCTCTAGTATTTTGTTTTCTTTTAAGAAAAAAAAAACCAAAAACAACAACAAAAAACAAACAAACAAAAACAAAACAAAACTGAAGAGCCTATTCGGCTCCTCAGAGTTACAGTCAAGTTTCTAATGACAGTTTACCTTAAATTCTAGGACTTTCTAGAGTCAAGAAAACAATGATCTTCAGTACTAGCCTTATCCCCTGATGACAAGGAGGCTACAAGGTATAGGCTTCAGATGGCAAAGAATGGAGGGCCTCTCCTAAAGGATGTGGTCCCCTTCCCAAGGCAACCTTCTTTTTCTAAGCTCCCGAATCCCCTTTACAGACTCAGGAGGCCCCAGACCAGCACTCCAGCCAAGGAGTTCCCACCAGCAGGCAGCAACTGTGAAACAGAGGGCGGCTGACTTCAGTCTCTGGGAGGTCCATTCTTAGGCCACTGGGGAGGAGCCTCCCCTCTTGAGGCGATTCCTGATGAAAGTCCCCAAAGCCACCAGGGGGATACACATGGTAGATGAAGCCACCAGCAAACCGATGACAGCTAGCGCATGTGGGGGGTAATCCTTGGTCACCAGCTGCCCCTGGGAGAAGAGACTGAGAGTTAGGGGACGGTCCCTCCCATCAAGTCCAAGAGAACCGTTCAACTGAGCTTTCTATGAAGGGGAAGACACTGGAGTGAGAGGAGGACTGTGTGCTCCACTACCCTGCAATTCACAGCAAGCCTTCAGAGAGACCATGCCCATTTTCTCTGTATTCCACGAAGAAAGATAATTCTGACCTTTTCAAGCATATATGAAAGATCACATATGAAGCTCTCCAAGAAAACAATTTTCTAGTACCTTATTCTGAGGCCTTAAATGTTATGTAACAGTTAGCCCAGACTAGTACTTTCTGTGGTGGTAGAAATGTTCTGTATAAATATGGCTAGTGTAGCATGCCAGAGGAACGGGTACTTCTGGGAAAAGGTCCAGTGGGATGCTGTGGGGTGACTCTTGCTCTCTTCATGCATCATGGTTAAGAAACTCACAGCCCAGCTCTGCTGCACTAGACTGAGCATCTGGGAAACATCTCGATGAAGTTCCCATGCTATCACCTGTGACCTTCTCACACCACAGCAACGGTTCCCTGTGTTCTGAAGTGACCTTGTGGGCTCTGCCCTGCAGGAGCATCGGGTACCTGAGTGGCGTCCCAGGCTTGGTACTGTAGCGTTCCTGTGAGGATGTAGTCGCTCAGGTAGAAGACAAAGAGGCTAATGATGAGCACTGGGCTCACAAACGCCCACATGGCCTTCCAGTACCAGTTGAGGCTCCGGCCAGTCATGGCCTGAAGGTCACTTTCAAATCTGTTGGGGCCAAAGGAGAGAGCCTAGGTTTATTCATGTTCTGGAGGGAGGGGCTCCAGTTTGCATACCCTCTGCCCTTAGGAAGATGCTCTTCTGGTCGTTAATGATGTTTGCACATGCTCACAACCCATCTGATCCTTTCCTGGTGTGTGTGTGGGGGTTTGTTGAGGTGAAGGGACAAGGGCCGAGGCTGCCTGAGGGAAGGTGACCAATACAGATTGGGTCATGGGACATCATCTTCCTGGTGTTGGCCTTCAGAGGTCCCCAGGTGTGGACCAGAGGCTATTTCCCAGAGAAGGTGGGAACAGGGTACATGGGGGAGGGGAATGCCAGTCCCCTCAGTCCACAGGGCTAGGGTGGCATTCCCTCTCTGCCCACCCCACTCTGTACACTAGTGATGGTTCCAAGTATTCTTTACTGCTTCTTAGAGATGGTCTCAGAACAGTCACTCTGTGCTTGGAAGGGCCTGGCCTTGGTATGGAAGAGCAGGTAGAGTGGAGCAAGAGCAAAGCTTCTAGGCTGAAACTCAAAGGGCACCCTCTGTGTTCTCATCGTGGCCATATTCCAGCTTTCTCCCTTTTTCTTACTTGGTTCTCTTGCCTACACAGCAACAGTCAGTCCTATAGGTTATGATACTCATGTGTAAGTATAAAAGTACTTCAGCACTTAAGGAGCCTCAGCAACCTCTCTATTTCTCAGGACAGAGGCTAGAGGCCAGGGCTCTGATGGGATTTGATGGGGCCTCTCAGAGACCAGGGCCTTGAAATCTGCTCACTGGGAGGGTGGGCAGGGGCCAGATAAGATGCCATTGTCGGCAGCTGCAGCACCGATACCTGCCTCCAGGTCTGTTTTACTGTGTCCATGTATGGTTCTGTACTTTCTACTGCTGGCTGAGCTGGCCTCTGGCTCCCCACCATGAATGTGCAATGAGAACACTAGGACAAAGGTCAGAAAGTGCCATATTTACCTCTTGTTCCTCCCCTGTTCACTTGGAATAGAGAAAGATGGGAGTTAGCTGGCTGCTGCAGTGTGGAGGATTCTGGGGGCCACTAGATGGCGATGTCTCCTGAATGAGCAAAAGCTTCCTCCTGGCCCTTGTCTGGATCACCAACAGAACTGCCAGGCTCCTTTTGTTTCTCCCTCCTTCCCATCACTTTCCACCACTTCTGGGATATAACTGTGTCCCCTCTTTAGTCACCCTAGGGAGTTGAGGTTCAGGTCTCTCTTTAACTTTCTTCTACTCTGAAACATCTACTTCCTGACCAGTCTCTTTCTCCCTGAAAATCAGTGTTTTCTAGATGATCATTTAAACCTCTTCACATTGGGTAATCCAGAAATTGGTCACGTGATCTTTACTGTCATAAGCTGAGGGAGTGCATAAGAGTAAAGGATTAAAAAAGTCAGTTTGTGAATGCCACAAATTATAATCCCTCTTTTAGGTTCCGAAGCATTTTCAAGACTGAGTTCTTGGGGAAAGCCACTAACTCATCTAATAAACAGCTGGCCACTGGAGATGCTTCAGTATGTCATGAGACCCTGGCTCTTCAAGAGACAGTGGGGAACGTTTCTCAATGGACAGCCTGCCATTTAGAATGTCATGGCTGGTTTTACCTAAGCTCAAACCAGTTTAGATCATCAGAAAAATCCAAGGAAGAGGAAGAGATGGCACAGCACAGCTCTTTGACCCAGATCACATCCAAACAGCACTTGTAGTGTGCCTCTGAATGCCTTATATGACCTCACTCAGCAGGGTTGGGTGACTGGAGGGTCTGAGTTTCCCAAAGATTCCTTGTTGCTGTTGCCTGATGGAAAACTGGGAAATCCTCCACTAGTTGGTCTCAACATTGTAGTCCTAGACCACCAAGGAATATCTGAGTTCTTGGACCTCAACCCAGATCTCCTCAATCAGAATCTCTTGCAGGCAGTAGTCCAGTTTTCACAAGACCCCCCAAATGATGTGATAATGCCCAGGCTTGAAGGCTTCCTAATTAGTAATATTGGCCCCATATTGGCATTTTCTAGATAATCATTTAAACCTCTTCACAACGGATAATCCAGAAACTGGAATGAATATGTATATTCATTCCATCACCTGGGAGGCCAAACATCCCAGTGCTGGCCAGGACACCAAGGTAGAAATCTGACACATCCATAGGCTGAGTTTTCAAACTGAACTCTGGTCAGGGTTCTTGAGAAGCTCTGATGTTGGTGGAAGATCACAGAATCTAGTCCTGGAGACTAAGTCCCCACCCAGAAAGCCATGAGTATAGCAGGGCCAACAGGGAAACATGACAGGAAACAAAACAAAAAACAGGAAAAGGAAAGAAACTTTTGGATGCAGGTAAACTGAGGAAGCCAGAGATAGCTGAGATCTGAGGGCAAAGAACAAACTGACAATGCTGGCATCTAAAACAGGCATGCCCATCGGGTGAAGATGGTTTTCTTATGAGTGTGGTCCTACAGCTTATCTGCCCCATGTAGAACAGGATCTGGAAGTCTCCTTACCTCTTTAGCCCATATACATAGCACACAGCTATGGTCTCCACCAGCACAATGAGCAGGAGGGACAACGTGGCTGCATAGTCATTGAAGATGTCAAACCAGTAGTTCCCAGCTTCCATGGTGAACACCATGCCAATGGCACAGTTGATGAGGCACACCAGACCTGGAACACAAGATCACTGCTCATCTCTCTGAGTCTCCCTGCCTTTCATCCCACATTCGATGTCAACAAGAGCCACCGATCCCTAGGTGTGCTTTGGAGGGTGAGTTCAGCTGTAGGAGCTGCTTTGCAGGGGATTTCAGAGCAGGAAAAAAACCAACAGTCAGGGTGTTGCTCTTTGGGGGACATCATGATGGCTGAAAGTCTGGGGACGCTGAAGATACCAACAACTTAGCCCCAGAGACTGTGGGAAGTGGACCAAGAGGAAGGTTTAACTGTGGTGTGGGGCCCCAGATAAGGATTAGTTTGGGAAGAAACTACAGTTTACATAGGTCCTATCACATGCTGGGCTCTGGTCATGTATCAGACCAGATTAAGCCTCCAAGGTAGCAGCCAGGAATCCCTTGTATACCAGGATGGGTTTAGTGATGTCAAGTAACTCCCTATAGTACAACATGGCAGAGTCAACATTTGAGCTCTGGCCTTTAACTGCCAATCTTTCCAAGTTTTCCTCTGACTCCATAGGGTATCCATGATGTGTTTGAAAGTATAGTGGCCCTGCCCTTTCCACTGCCACACCATACAGAGTCAGACACTGAATGCCCTGAGAGGCTTACTTCGGGAGAGGATTCAAGTACTGCACTGGGAGCTGTATGCACATGTACTGTGGACCACAGAAACCCGATTTCAGAAAAGATACCAAGTGCTAGGAGGCTCTGAAGAAAGGGGAAGAGGGCACTTCCCGCTGGATGGCCAGAACATGTGATCAGATGTGGCACTTTTTCAACTATCCTGGACATAGAACTATCAGAGGCAGAGGTGGCTGGATACAGGGTTCTCATGATCCTGCCTGAGAGGGATGGTGGTGAAATTAAAAATGGGTCTCTGCGGTCCACATTACATATGCATACAGCTCCTAGACCAGCTTACCCAAGTGAGGCTGTGGTGAGTTCTTAGTCCAGCTCCCAGGGCTAAGGTATCACACTGTAGCAGGAGCACAGCTTCACTCCTACAGTCCTTCTGGAGTTGCCTTAGAAGCACGGGGCTCCTAATTAAACCCTCCAATGCTTGTCTTGCGTTTCCCCACCCACCCATGCCCCGCCTCCAATGCCTGGTGTCCTGACCTGAAATGGCCTCCTTGGGCAGGTAGCTGGAGATGACCTTGCTGTCAGTCAGAGGGGTGAGGATGGCCGCTGTGTTTCCAAGCATGCTTCCCATCCCCAGCATCAGTAGCATGAAGAAGTAGAGCACTGACCACAGCTGGGACACTTCCATGTTTTTAATGGCCTCAGTGTAGACAATGAAGGCCAGGCCTGTGCCCTGGACAGCCTGAGAGTAAAAGACACCAGTTATGCACCTGAGTCAGAGGGCACAAGGGGTGGAATGTCATAGTTTGAATGTGAAATATCCTCTACAGGCTCATGTGTTTGAACAGTATGTCCCCAGGTGCTGTACTCTTGGAGGTGTGCATAACTGTAACACCAAAAGTAAAAACCCAGAGAAAGATATTGCGGTTTAAGCTTCAAGCTGGAGGTCAGAAAGGCAAATCAGCCAGCCCCTAACTCTTACTTCTACCTCAGTCCAAAAGGGGTGACTCTATTTCCACAAGGTCTCCACCAAGCCTCACAATGCTGCCTCTCCTCAAGGTGGCTGGAGACTAAATCTCATAATGCAGCCTGAGACACTGGGTTACTATCTTTTATATACCTTACTAGAGCTGGGATTAAAGGCATGAGCTCTGTTAGTCTTTTAGACTGATTCACTCTAATGTAGCCCTGGGTGGCCTTGAACACCTGTCCTCAGAGGCTTTTCTTAACTACAGAGGAAGATTCCACAACTCCTTTACTCCTGTTTCCTTCAGAAACCATCTGGCCAATGCTGCCAAGTTCTGCCTTTTGAGTTGGAGCCTGTTCCCTGTCTTGAATTATATTTGCATAACATTTTTCCCCTTGCAGATTTTTAGAATTTTTAAAATTCCTTAAGCAATTTCCTTTTTACAAATTGTAGGATTAACTGGGTGGGGTCTTGCCCCGAAGATAACACTCCCTTTATTCCATTTCACATCAGGCATCTCCTTATCTCTTTGTATTTCTTTTTGCCTCACTTAATTGTTTTTCATTGTAGCCCCACATAAAAGTGATTACTAATAACCATGCAATAGAGTTAATATTAGGCTGTTTTGAAATCTCCTCTGCCAATAAAATTAGTCTAAATGTTTCAATTCAGGCAGAAAACATGCACATTCTTTGCCAAAGCATCAGAAGAATGGTCTCCAACACTGTCAGTAATATTTTTGCCCTCTGATTGAGCCTGAGCATCCATAACCCTCATTGATCTCAGCACTGCTGTCCTCCAAGTTCGTATTATGATGATCTATTCAGCCCTACTTACAGCATTCAACACCTTTGCTAATCCGATGTCCCAAAGTCTTCCATATTCCTTCAAAAGGCAGCATGGCCAGCCTGTCACAGAAATAGCCCACTCCTTAGTACCAACTTTTGTCTTACTTACTTTTCTGTTGTCACAAGAAAACACTATGACCTAGGCAACTTATGAAAAAGAAAGAGTTGAATTTGGGACTCATGGTTGCAGAGGGTTAGAGTCCATGATGATCATGGGGGAAGTGTGTCAGCAGACAGGCAGGAGGCAGGAGGCAGGAGGCAGCAGGCAGCAGGCAGCAGGCAGCAGGCAGCAGGCAGCAGGCAGC